TATATATATATATATATACACCTACATATACATATGCATATACATATACATACTAATTATGGGATATAGTGATATTTTGAAAGTTATTGCTCAATCACAAAACAAAAACTTTCCAGAGGTCATACTAGTCAATAGTATTAATTCAAAAAAGCTTTTGCGCAACTTTGCTAGATTGGCTGGCTATTGAGAAAAGGATTAGGATTCTATTATTGCAATATGCTATATCTGGGCTATCCTTGAAAAGTATCTGGAAGCTTCAGCTAGTATAGAATGGGGCCATAGAAGCAATCTTGTGCACCAAAGAACAACACATGTAACACCTTGGCTGCTCAAGTTGCACTGGGTGTGGTTTGTTTCTGCATTTGATTCAAGGTGTTGATTATGACCTTTAAAGCATAGGGCCAGATTACCTACAGAAGTGTCTTCACCTCATTATATAAGCACGTCCAATCTGGTCACTGCCAGAAATGTATGTTGTCAGTTAAAGAATACCCATTTATGGGGTCCAGTAAGAAAACCTGTTCTGTTGTTGTACCTCTACTGTGGGTGAGATGAGAGGTGGGTGGGGTGTGGCCCCCATCTCTTTCCTAGCTTTTTGAAAAAGCACTGGCACTACTATCTTGCTCTGGGCTGATAGGGGAGCACACATTCATGGGGCTGCTTAGCACTGTGAAGCCCTCCTTCCACCTTCTAATTAACATTTAATGTAGAATTTTAAAACTACCTTGCCTTGTAATTGTATGTATGTATGTATGTATGTATCCTCTTTCCCTGAAAATAAGATCTCCCCAGATAATAAACCCAATTGAGCTTTTGAGAGCATGCACTAAAGTAAGCCCTCCCCCGGAAATAAGCCCTTCCCCAAAATATTACAACACAGCAGCAGACATGAGGTAATCACGCTCACCACCTTCTACATCTCAAAAATAATAAGACTTCCATGAAAATAAGGCCAGGAACTTATTTCAGGGGTCAAAAGATAAGACCCTGTCTTATTTTCAGGAAAATATAGTATGTATGTATGTATGTATGTATGTATGTATGTATGTATGTATGTATGTATGTATGTATTTTTATAATTTTATGTTTTGTGTCTTAATATTTTATTTGTACACTGCCCAGACTCCCTATGTGAGGAAGATAGACAATTTATATATTTGATAAATAAATAAATCTCAATTGGTCCACGGTTTCTCTGCTTCCCATCCTTCAATTAAATCACAAGAGAAGACTTTAAGATTATTCTGTTATCCATATTAAAAGGGAATTCTGCTGTTGAGACACTGCTGCAGAATTTCACTTTTATGTGAAAAAATTAAGAGCAATTGTGCTATTTATTTAAGGAATGTGTAATTGTGGTTTCTTTGCCACTCATTTTTCAGGAATTTCAGAGACATTCCTGTTCGGCTCTTCTATTAGTCATTGCACACTCTACCACTGAAAACTTAAATTTTGCAGGTGTTCCCAAAAAAACTGATAGCTAAATCCAGAAAATATTATAAACATAAAAGACTGTGATCATATTCAAAAGTAGGAAACTGCATTAATTAACAACTATCAATGGACCAAAATACAGAACCAAGATGTCAGCAGAGACCAGCAATTATTGTGACATATGTATAGAAGTGAAAAAAAAATGGAAAAGAGAGCAAGGGTGGAAACTAGGAGGCTCTTGATGTGTAGACGTGTGATAAAAAGATGGGAAGCGTAAGTTGAGGTTTGAAGGGAGGTGATGTTGTATCCTTAACGTTTTAAGGATTTGTTACAAATTGCTTCCGTAGGTTATGCTCTCAATTCTCTTTCTCTCAAGAAATCCCATTACAGAGTACAAGATTCCTGAATATTCCTTCCAGAGCACCAGAGCACCTCACATACAACCTTCAAGTCTGCAGCGTGTCTCTCTCTCATTGAGTCTCAGAGAGTCAATTGCATTGACACTAAATTGTAACCTAAACACACACATGCACAGCAGGGGTGGGTTTCTCGCCCCGTTCCAACCGGTTCGGTTGGAACGAGGCTGGCGGCGTCCTCGCACACGCGTGCGGTGCACGCATGCATACTAGCATCTGTGCGATGCTCCAGCTGCTCCTGGAGGATCGCGCAGGCGCTGTATGCGTCCTGCGCATGCGTGGAAGCGCAGAATTCGGCAAAACCGGGTAAGGAGCGGGTGCGGGCGCGCACGGGCGTGGGGGGGGGGCCTTTGCCGTTCCCGGAAGATCCAATTTGGGCTCTGTATAATTCTGATCTTTGTAAATACTTGAGCAGGTTTTGTTCCTTTGCAAGGTTCTTGACATGAACCAATGCCAAATCGAGATTCAGAAAAACAGGTCTGTTCTCTTACAGGTAGCAGATATATACACACACAAAATGTGACATATATATAATTTTGTGTAGTATGCTTAGGTCAGACTGTAAGGGGCACATTTCCAGATTGTCCAAGCCCCAAATTTCAAGCCTTGTGGCATAGGGAATTCTATTGTGTAAGAAATTAGTTTCAACAGTAGTTTGTCATGCATCACTGAATCAAAGGTGTTATGTCCTTGTTTCACGACTGTGCTGACTCAGAGGCGTGTCCCATTGGCTAAGCTGTTGATAGCAATCGGCATGAGAATGAAGCCTTGCGATTCTCCGCCCCATATGACAACTGCCATCTGACAACTGCCAGTTGCCGGTTCCGGAATTGCCTCTGTTATTCTGTTAGCGAATAAAGGCTGTTCTTGTTAGCAACCTGTCTTGTCTCAGTCCTTACCCGCCTTGTTCTCTGTATAGAGCACTGGTGACAAAGGGTGGGATTTAGGCCTGAGGTGACAGGATAGTTAAGTCACTGACCAGAGCTGAGGTGTGTTCAGCTGAATGCTGATTCCTAGTCACTGGCGACAATATGTTGTTTTGAAATGCAATCTCCTCAGCCACCTGCCCTTTTAAGGATGGCTACACTGATCCCATTCCCAGCATTTAATCCAGCAATGGAGACTTGGGACTCTTAGTTAGAATGATTAGTGTTTCCTTGAGGCAAATGACTATACTGAACTAAGCTTGGACATGTGGACATGAAATGTTTGAGATGGCTAGAGCCCTACTCGCCCCTCAGCCAGTCCATGCCATGCCCTGGAGACTCTACTTGCCAAGCTGAAGAGCCACTATGCACCAGCTCCATCTTGCATAGCCAGGCAACATGAATTCCGTCAAAGGAACCAGGAGGAGGGTGAGTCTATAAACCAATATATGGCCTCCCTCAAGACAGCCACACTCTATTGTGACTTCAGAGACCTGGAGGATGTCCCCCTGGATCAACTAATTTGTGGTGTGAGGGACATGTGGCTGCAATGCCGCCTGTTAGCCAAGACAGAGATCAACCTCCAATCTGCATTGGATGAGGCTCAATTGTCCAAATTGCTCAACAGGTCAACTGTGGAGATACAAAGGTCCCAAATCCTGACCACTGCTAGCCAAGCCACAGCTGTTCACAATGAAGAGGTCGCTGGGGATGACACAACGGATGATGAAGTAAGCTGCCTCACATCATCCCCGAAGAAAAGATGAACTCCAGAAAAAAGGTTTCCTCAGGGAACTTGTATAGGTTGTGGTGGGAATCATTCCAGGTCTACCTGCATGTTCAAAACCACCATTTGCCATCAGTGCAGGAAAAGGGGCCATCTAGCTAAGGTTTGTTGTTCCTCCCTGCCAACCACTACGCAGCATCAGGGCCTCCGTACACCAGGCGGTCAAGCAGAACACCTTTGAAATCCGAAGGAGATTGCTTTGCTATCTTCCACAACCATTGAAGTAGCTACTGAGGTAGCTCAGTAATGCAACCACTGGGTCAAGCAACAAGATCTACCTCACTGTCAATATAGAGGGAGCCCCGTGCAGAATGGAAGTGGACACCAGCTCCTCAAAATCCATAGTATCGTAGAGCACCCTTAAGAGATTGGTACCTACCATGTCCAAGAGATGCCTGAGTCCCTGCAACTTGAAACTTTGGGAATATTTCTGCACAATCTATAAGGTATCTTTCAGAACCACTTCCATGCCCCGACTTACAGTCATTAGCCACAGTCATGCCTCTTTTTAAAAAGAGAGACCCTAGTCTAGTAGAAAATTACAAACCAATCTCACCAGGTTGCATCACCCGTAAAATCATAGAATCAATTATAAACCAATCCATCACTCTCCACTTAGAAACAAACCCTGCTTTCTAACAAGCAGTTTGGTTTCAGGAAAAATTATCCTGTAATCTGCAACTCCTACACTGCAGAAACATTTGGACCAGGGTAAAGCAATAGACACAATTTAAATAGACTTCTGCAAAGCTTTTTGCTTTATACAAAGAACAAGTTGTGTAAGGACTGAGGAAAGACAGGTTGCTAACAAGAACAGTCTTTATTTGCTTAAGCGCTAACAGAATAACAGAGGCAACTTCAGAACTGGCAACAGAGAACTTTCTGTCTGACAGGTCTTTATATAGTAGCTGTCAGACAGGGTGGCCAATTGCGAGGCTTCATTCTCCTGCTGAGTGCTGTCAACAGCTCAGTCAATGGGAGGTGCCTCTGCATTGGCATGTTCATGAAACAAGAACAAGAACATAACACTTCTTCCTGCCTGGATGGCACATGCATAGTCTTGTAAGTACGTGGGGCACCTGCGCCCAAACTGATCATCTCAGTTTGGGGACGGTGTCAGCACCTCTCCATTTAATAATTAGGAAAAAAGGCCACAAGATTTCATTTGTAGAAAATCAAATGTACTTTTACCAATTAAAAATGGCTAAAGAGCAGTTGCATAGCAAAGTCTGGTTAATTAGGCGCGAAAG